GGGGGTGGTAAGAAGACAAAAAAGACACCTCAATGCCCAATTGTTTATTGAAAGCCCTCCAAAACCGAGAGACAAACTGAGAACCCCTGTCAGATACAATATTGCCATGCAGTCGGACAATTTCACGTATAAAGATAAGCACCAGTTCCTGTGAGGATGGTAATTTCTTGAGTGGGATGAAATGAGCCATTTTAGAAAAATGGTCAACCACCATGACAATAGTGGTATAGCCATTTGAATCAGGAAGTTCCACAATGGAATCTATGAACAGGTGGGACCAAGGAACATCAGGAACGGGAAGTGGATGTAACAAGCCACATGGAAGCTTATGAGGTTTTGTAAACCGCACAAACAGAACAGGCCTGCACATACTCCTTAACATCTTTCCTGAGGGAATCCCACCAAAATGATCTCATGATCATCTCGTGGTTTACTGCAGGGTGTCTGAGACTGAGCCTCCATGAAGGCGCCAAGCAGGGGAGAGGACAAGGAAAGGACAGTGGAAGCGATGATAAACTCAGGGGGAATGATAGGGGATGTTTCTTGTTCCTGTATAGATTCAGTATCAAACTGCCTAGACAAGGCGTTAGCCTTCACATTTTTTGAACCAGGCCTATAAGTTATTAGAAAGTTAAAGCGAGAAAGGAACAGTGACCATCTAGCTTGTCTAGAAGACAATCGTTTAGCATCCCCTATGTAAGCCAAGTTTTTATGGTCAGTAATTATCAAAAGAGGATCCTTGGAACCCTCTAAAAGATGTCGCCATTCTTTGAGTGCTAGAATAATAGCCAACAATTATCTATTGCCAATATCATAATTGCGCTCAGCAGGGGACAACTCTCTAGAGATGTAACCACATGGATGCAAAAGGGTATCCTGGCTCTCCCTATGGGAGGGAACATCCCTACCCCAGTCTCGGAAGCATCAACCTCCAGTATGAAAGGTGTGCTGGTGTTGGGATGTATCAATATGTCGGCAGAGGCAAACCTTTTCTTTAGAAGTTCAAAGGCTTCTTTTTCCTCAGACCATATCGTACTGCTAGCCCCCTTGCATGTCATATTGGTGATGGGGGCTATTACAGAAGAAAACCCCTTGATAAATCTTCTGTAATAATTGGCAAACCCAATAAACATCTGAATGGCCTTTAACCCATTGGGTAAAGGCCACTGCAGAACAGACTCTAGTTTATGAGGATCCATCTGAAACCCATAGACAGAAATGTTATACCCCAAAAACTACTTCCGTCTGATCAAAGATACATTTTTCCAGTTTACAATAAAGTAGATTTTTCAGTAAAGTTTGCAAAACTTGTTTAACATGATTGTGGTGTGTCTGAAGGTCAGGGGAATAGATAATGATATCCAGATATACTAAGACAAATGAGTAAATGTAATCCCTGAGTACGTCATTAATAAAATCCTGAAATACAGCTCGAGCATTACACAACCCAAAGGGCATCACAAGGTACTCATAGTGTCCACTTCTGGTATGAAATGCTGTTTTCCAATCATGGTTTTCTTTAATCATAACTAAATTGAATGCGCTCCTAAGGTCAAGTTTAGTAAAGATTTTAGCACCTTGGAGTCTGTCGAACAATTCGGTAATAAGGGGAATGGGGTAGGCATTTTTAATAGTGATTTTGTTCAATGCCCTGTAGTCAATACGTGGATGTAACTCACCATCTTTTTTACACACAAAAAAGAATCCTTCACCAGCAGGTGAGGATGACTTGCGTATAAAGCCCTTACTTAGGGTGTCTTGTGGGGATAGAGCATAAACTGCTTCCCTATGTGGCATAGCACTGGGAAGTAGGTTTATGGAACAGTCATATGGTCTGTGAGGAGGTAAAATATTAGACAGGACTTTGCTGAATACCTCCTTAACCTCCTGGTATTGTTTGGGAACTTCGGGAGTTTGAGGCTTAGTAGTGGGTAATTTGATGGTGCCCACTCTCTTGGTGATGGGTAACATACAGTTCTCATTACAATCCTTACCTCATTCCAATATTTCCCCATTAGCCCAGTCGATATGAGGACTGTGCTTACTAAGCCAAGGAAAGCCTAATATAATAGGGCAAGAAGGAAACGCAATAATTTGGAATGTTATGTCTTCCTTATGTAAGGCACCAATAGGCATGTTAATGGGCAAGGTTTTGTGGGTGATTAATGGTTGAGAGAGTGGTCTCCCATCAATAGCTTCAACAGCCAGAGGTGATAGTCTCTCCTTGATAGGTATAGCGTTACTTTTTAACAAAATGAACATCTATGAAATTGCCTGCTGCACCTGAGTCCATCAGGGCTTTGCATGAAAAGTTATTTTTGTCAAATATGATCATAATATCAAGGAGAAACCTATTTTTGTTATTCCCAGAGGACGTATCCATTACACCTAAGACCTGTCCCTTTAAGGTTATAGGTGCAGTAGTTTTCCGGACGTAGAATGGGGCACGCACTACTCATATGTCCTCTTCTACTGCAGTATAGACATAGGCCTTATTTTCTCCTAGTAAAAACAAGGTGAAATTAATAAGGCGCTGAGTAAGGCTTCTTTTCTCCTATATTGTCTTTCTGCCTCTGACAGTCTAGTGACCTCCAACTGCATGGGTTCGGGTTCGGAGTGTACAGGAAGGTCAGGGACAATAGGTCTAGAAAAGTTTTATTTAAATATTTTCAAATTGTCATAGAGAATGTAGTCAGTGAGCAGAGAGAAACACGCAGGTTTCTGATATGTGAAATAGTGTTTGATAGTGTCACATCATGCCATGTTCTGCGGATCAGTCTGGTGATGGCTTTCTGGTATCCAGTACTCTTTTTACAATTCTTGTTTTGTTTTTCTTGGTTTTTCTGGTTTTCTTTATGCTGGGTTTTTCTGGGTTCATTCCTGTATTCCGTCCTGGGAATTCCCAGTCTCCAGGGTTCCTTTAAATGTTTGTTTTATGTTGCCACACCCGTTCCTTTTCTATGATTCCTTTTGTTTCAGTTGGAGCCTGCAGGAAGTTGCTCAAGCCTTCTTTCCTTTCTTGCAGGTAAGTGCTATATGTGTTTCTTATGGTTCTTTTAGCATACATTAGGCAGAGTAGGAGCTGCCAGATATGGGGTACATTGGCGTTGTTGGCAGGCTTATGCAATGTATGATCATATAATGTAACTAAATCTCCATGATTTTCATACATAGTACTTAGTTATTTCTCCTCTTGTTTTGCCTATCATGTCTTGTTTTAGTTTGTATTCCCAGTCCATGTACAGTCCTGTCCTGCCCGTGTTATGTCAATGGTTCCCTTATGTATTGTGTACATGTTCTGGGCTTAGCTTCCTATCCTTCTCTTGTTCTGGGTTCTACTAGTCCTGTCTTGTTTTCATGTTTGGTGACTATCCTAGCCTTGCCTTGTTTCTGTACTCGATACATTCTTGATGCAGAGCCTCCCTATTCAGCTACTGGGAGGTCTGCTTACTTCCTAGCTCCTATCTCTTGGGATCCGCAGTAGCTACATCAGGGACCTGGTATGTGGCAGCACAAACGCTGGTGCTCAACACCATGGGGCATGTGGTTACCCTGCACCAGGCCCTGATAAATCCACTTCCACGTTGAAGACTCCCAACTTCTCATCAAGCACTCAGGAGTCCCGGTTTCCGTACCGCCACCCGTGACAGTTCGAGATACGCAGATCTCCAAAAGTGCAGTAGGGGGTGAGACACGCAGGTCTCGAGAGAAAGTAAACACAAAATATATAAATGCAGGTTTGCGGGACATCGTTACACGTTACTTGTTGAGAGCTGTTTGCAAGTTGATGGATCTGTCTGTAAATGATATGTAGCTTCCTATCTTACATATATCTTAGGTTTTTATTTTTGGTTTCCTCTTTTGTCTTTTCCTTTTTTTTGGTTATAAGTACGGTTTTTCCTATTGTTTGTTAAGCAATTCAGGGTCTAGAATAAGGATATGGGGGGTAATATAACCCTCAGCGGTCTCTGTCACATGTATGTAGTTCTTGTCACATTTTCGGGGGTACAGCCGTCATGTGCATGTCATAGTGAGAGTGTTACATGTTTCTTTGTGTGTGCTCGGGTGAGGGCTTGTCTCTATTTTCAGTGATTGCCTACTTAGCTTGTGTCTCCTTCACTCTCATCTGCTGTCCATAGTCGTTGTTACTTCTGTTAAGCTAAGCTAGAGATTGTGAATTATCTCTTCCAGGTGTGGCTCTTCCCTTCCCTGTTTCCTGCTTCATCTGTTCCCGAGTGCTTAGGGTGTTGCTTGCCACTTTCATGGCCTTTCATTTCTCTGGTTCTTAATCTATTATAAATTTGCATGACAAATGTAATAAATTCATTCAGTTTCTTGGGTAGGTCTTTGGCAGCAATCTCATCCAACATGGTTTCAGATAATCCTTTCTTAAATGCAGAGATTAAACCGCTGTTAGTCCAGTCTGCCTCTGAAGTCAAGGTGTGAAATTCTGTGGCATACTCCGAGATAGACCGGTTCCTTTGTCTGATATACATTAGGGCAGTGGAGGCGTCATCCTTGCTGCCTAATGGTTCAAACGTAAGTTTAAATTCTGTAAGGAATTCCTGGTAATTGTGTGCAATGCTCCTATTACTCTCCCATAATGGATTGGCCCAAGCTACAGCTTGTGGATTTTTGGGTTTTCATGAGCTGTAACCATAATCATCGCACTTATGACAAATCACGGCTTGAACTATCTTGCTTTGCATGTAATGTGTCTATCTCATATATTAGTTTCCCCTTTTATGTTGCATTACTGAAATAAATGAACTTTTGCACGATATTCTCATTTTTCGAGTATCACGTGTGTGTGTGTGTGTGTGTGTGTGTGTGTGTGTGTGTGTGTGTGTGTGTGTGTGTGTGTGTGTGTGTGTGTGTGTGTGTGTGTGTGTGTGTGTGTGTGTGTGTGTGTGTGTGTGTGTGTGTGTGTGTATATATTGTGACCTTTAAGGGCAAAGCAACACAGTCCTCTAGGGTAACAGGTACAGAACAACAGTCTCTTATGCAAAAATGGTGTGGTTTATTTATATCGTGCACAAAATTCCATGCAGCAATCAGTTTGTACAAAACTTCAGCAAAACAGAAAGGAAAGTCTACAAACAAAATCCTAGCTCAAATTCGAGCACTAACTAAACATAAAGTAATATCCCTTACTAAATCAGGGTAATAAACTACACAATTCAAGAAAATAAACATTGGTTTCACCAACCTTTAGCACTTTGTTTGGTGCTGCTCAGCACAGACCTGCTCTCTCTGCAGATCAAATTGTATCTCTCTCTTTCTGCTCTGAGACCTGCTAATTAAAGCCTCAGCAGTTGCTAATTAGGAAGGTGAATGAGTACAGGTTATGTAGGAGTCTGGGTCCTAAATACCGTCCTTCTATTACCCTCCCATAGACTCTGTCACAATATATATACATTTATATCAATGTGTGTGTATGTATGTATTCATATATGTATATGTATATGTATGTATGTATGTGTGTATGTATATATATATATATATATATATATATATATTATGTGTTTATATATTACTCCATCATCTGGGGTGGCAAGACATAGCCTTACATATTATTGGTATATTTCTTTTTTAATTCTAAATATTGGTCATTTTAGAGTGTGTGTAATATATTACACACAATACATGGCAAAATGACTTATGGGGCTGGCATAGATTTTTTTTCCAGGGCTGCTTTGTATCCCCAGTCTGGCCCTGTTTACAGATGGAACAAAATTTATTTTCTCTCTAAACTTAATGACAACTCTTTTCCTTTCCTTCCCCTTTCTGCCCCTTTTCTCTACCTTTAAATTCTGTTTTGCCTGCAAAATAAATTGCGGTTGAACACCTTAAACGTTTTTTTATATAGGCATTTTCTCTTAACCAGTCCTTTAAGTGGATCCCAAATCTGGTCTCTGCTTCAATAACAATTTCCTAGAGATAATGTAATTCTTCTACCCAAGTACATAAGAAAAAATAAATAATTTAAGCAAACTTAAAACAAGGTAAACCAAAGGTGCTAGTATGCCTGGTTAGCTGGTCTAGTAACGAGCTATTTTGCTCCTAATGGAGCTACTCACAGCCCTTTTGAGTGCGTGGCTGCTTCTTCTTTGAGGGAGTACTTAATTTGACAGTTTTTAAGATGACCTCAAATTAGGGTACATCCAGACAGTGGGACCCCCGAGTTTGCCGACCGCCAACTCCATTGAATGGAGGAGAGGAGGGATTCGAAGAGGCAGCTTATTTTTCAGAGGGACAGGAGAGTGATCATACCCAGAATTTTGCCGGGGAGTTTAACACATGCGGTATGGGAAACCACAACCGCCGCCATACAGCTACCAGACACTCCCACTGCAGTGTGAGCATGTGCACCTCACGTCATCATGCACCAAATCCCAACTGGCTCTTGGGGCAGTTTCTATTTAACATATTTATAAATTATATTGAAATAAGCATTGAAAGTCATGTTTCGGTGTTTGCAGATGACACAAAATTTTGTAAAGTAATACAGCGTGAGCAGGATATTACTTTGCGGCAGAGGGATTTAGATAGATTAGGGGACTGGGCACTCATATGGCCAGGGCCGGCCTTAGGGGTGTGCGAGCTGTGCGGCCACACAGGACGCCATGGACCAGGGGGTGCCATGTGGCTGACACAGCTCGCACATGGCCGGTGTCAGGGGAGCTAAAACAGGTACCTGGGTGGAGGATTAATTATTCTCCACCCGGGTCTATTAAAAAAAAATACAAAAATGAGGCAGTGTGGGCGGGGCTTATCGTGAGGCAGAGGCAAGGCTAATACCTACCCAAAGCTGCACAGGAAGAGGGAAGAAGGGAGTCCCTGCTTTACCAACAACCAACTGCATCCACTGTAAAGAGGTAAGTGTGTGTGTATGACTGCCTGCCTCTGTGTGTGTGTGTGTGTGTGTGTATGTGTGACTGCCTGACTGCCTGCTTGTGTGTGACTGTCTTTCTGTGGAACTGCCTCCCTGTGTGTGTGTGTGTGACTGCCTGCCTCTGCGTGTGTGTGTGTGTGTGTGTGTGTGATTGTCTGACTGTGTGTGACTCCAATTGTGTGTGTCTCTGTAGCTGTGCTGTTGTGTGTGTCTGCCTATATTTGTGACTATCTGCCTTTAACTGAGTGTGTGTGTGTGTATGACTGTCTGCTTGTAATGGAGTATGTGTGACTGTGTGCATGTAACTGTGTGTGACTGTCTGCCTTTAACTGTGTGTTTGGCTCTGTGACTGTGTGACTGTATGCCTGTAACTGTGTATGTGCGTGTGTGTGTGTGAGACTGTCTGCCTGTGCCTGTGTGTGTGACTGTATACAGGCAACTTGGTGGGGGAGGGGGCGCCGTGAAGACTTTTCGCACAGGGCGCCTAATTGCCTAAGGCCGGCCCTGGATATGGCAGATGAAATGTAAGGTAGAAAAATGCAAAGTTATGCACTTCGGGGTAAAGAATTCACATGCAATGTATACCTTAAATGGTAGTGAACTAGGAATAACAAGACGAGAAAGATTTGGGAATTGTTATAGACAATAAACTAGGCAACCATGTGTAATGTCAGTCAGCAATTGCTAAGGTAAAGGTATTGCCATGCATAGAAAGAGGCATTCATTCTTGGGATTAAAATATAATTTTATCTCTTATAATCCTGTTCTAAAAAAGGATATTATGGCACTAGAAAAAGTGCAGAGACAAATTTTAATCTGTTTGGTTTAGAAAATGAGCACCTCAGAGAGGACATGATGGCATTATACAAATATATTCAAGGCCAGTTCAAATGATTGTCTGGAAATCTATTCCTAAACATACATAGGACACGAGGTCACACGTTTAGACTGGAAGAAAGGAGTCTAATACAAATAAAAGTGTTTTTTTTTTTTTACTGTAAGAATAATTAGGGAGTGGAATTCACTGCGTGAAGAGTCTGTTTAAACAGCAACTGGATGAATACATGCAAAATCATAATATTCAGGGATATCATTTTTAATATGTGGGATAATATCTTCTTGAAACAAGGTGAGATCTGACTGCCATTCCGATACAAGGTCGAGAAGGAGTTTTATTTTTTTGTCTTCTTTTGGATCAAAAGCAAAAACAGGTTCCCAAATAAGGATTATTGCCTTTTTCTGTGCTGAAGTAAGGACCATAGCCACCTTATGCATTTAATTGGTATGCAATTTGTCTATTAGCTGTGTCTCCGTAGGGCATACATCACTTTTCAAATTGATAGCTATTAGAGATTTATCTGATAATTAATGAGAAGCTAAAGCTTGTTTATGATACGATACTTTTGGGGCAGTCTAGCCATAAATATGCAACTGGAGTGCTGGCTATCTGGATAGTAAAGTGAATTAACATGTGGGAGACAAATTACCACAGCGAGTGAATCCCTGGGCAGTGCCACAATATATGGAACATATCTTTTATTTGAGCCTTGCATCTTCTGCACAAGTTGGACGTTGTTTTATAGATTCTATGGAGCTTATCCATGGAAAGATACCACTGGTAAAGCAGTTTTCCATTTTCAACCAATCCAACATTTACCTAACACAGCTTTGATCTGCATAATAGGAGCCTCAGTGTTTTGTAATAAAATTCACACATTTTACTATTTCATGATATAAAATCGTAACTTTATTAAAGACACGCAGGCAATTATTAGACCATTAAACTTTTTCCCACCTGTTGAATTACTGTTGTTGATTTCTTTCATATCTGACCTCTCTGTGCACTCTACATGCATTGATCGGGAGGCCATGGTTTCCAGAGTCACTCTGGGCAGGGTAACTCTGCCTTTCTGACTGTGCACGCCATGCATGCTGATGTGGAGGCCAATGCATGTGGACATGGTCTGGGCAGCAAGTCAGTTGCTACACGTTCACAGTATTCCTCTAATTATAAAATAAAGATGCATTGCCAGAAAAGCTCACATCACACCTGTAACCTCATTACAGCACTAATAAGGGTTACAGGAGTAATGTGTACCAGAGCACACATAGGCATTTAAATAAACTTTCAGGCATACGATTTACCCTGTCGTGGTTTCTGCTTGGTTCCCAAACAGCATGTTTATATTTTTCATTTTGACTTTTGCCATTTTACTTTTGCTTGTATCTTTACTTTGTCTGCCCACTCTAAGTTCTGGTAATACGCGCTAAGCTATCTTTTTATGCTCTAAACTAAGTTTTGCATGTAGGGGCAGTATTATCTTGACATTCGCAAAGAAAAAAAAAAGTTTATTTGTTACTCATGCTATTCATAGTTCAAAGTTTTGATTTATGTAATTTTATCTTTTTTTTTCATTGTTATTGACTTTATATGGACAGTACAGAAAGAGATAGCATATCAATACTCGCCTCTGTGTCTTTAATAAAATTATGACATTATTTTAGGACATAGTAAATTCCTTTTCATACATTTAGAAGAACACATAGCCGTGTGTACCTAGCCTTGATCTATATCATTCAGAGTGTCTGACTAGCTAATTTATGGTGGATTTCCTGAGCAGTAAGTCTAGACAGAGAGCATATATTAATTTACACATTATTTTAGCTTATTTAAATGAAAGAAAAAAGATACTGTCCCTCCCCTCACCTGTCATTTAATTATTAGTATTGTCTATAGTGAGGGTTGAGTGACAACAGCTATAGCAGAAGTGCTATAGTTGCATAGAATTTTCCTCTAGCAAGTCCATCTTGCAAATGGAGATGACAGATGGCCAATGATATTTACGTGGGAGCCAGGAGTTGGTGTTACATTAGTGGAATACCCATGAACCCAATCAAATGGCTAAGACTGCATTGCTACAGTGGAGGTAATTACCTTCTATTGATAAATTACTGTAACTATGTTTTATTTGATATATTAATTGATTTAAGAGATGATATAAGTAAAAGTGAAGGATAGAAAAAGTCCCAAAAGTGGCATAACACTTACAGTTTTCCACTAGGACAATGCCCTTTAATAGTCTCAATCTGGAACATAACATGAAACAGTCTCTTTTTGTGAAAAGTGCAATAAAATAGCTAAAAAATTGCTACATGAAAATCAATGGACCTGACAAACAAAATTCTCAGATTAGGACAATTAACCTCCTTGAATGCTTATTCATACTAAGCAGGATCCAGTCTTTTAATATCTTCTGTCTAGTCTCAAAGGAGCAGAAAGTATTGCTCAGTCTTATATGCATGAATCTTTGTCCAAATGATGTATAGTTGAGGAGAAGGAGGTAGACTTTTCTAGCTGACAAGGTTCATTTTCCAATGGTTGAGCGTATTTTTGAGTAAGCAGGAAACTTTTAGTCTCAGAGTTCAATAGTGAATTTGGTATTTTTGGAGAGTAGGGAAGAGAGCTGTCTTTCATTGAGAGAGAGACCTAAAGAATATCAGATTTAGTTCATTAGTCATTTCACTTTCATTCCTAACTCTAGTTTCCCAGCAGTTCCTCTAGAAACCACAAATGGTGCCTTGTTTATATTTCTACTGAAGCACACTGTACTTGACCTTCTTTCAGTCCTCGATTTCTATTAGTTCTAATACCTTTTCCAGTCCTGTTATTTATCTCAGTGTGTTACCACCTTTGTCCTACATAATAGTTATTCTTTCCTGTACTTCTTATCATACTCTTCCAATCATCATTTGTTCTTGTTATATCCCACCAAAACCCTCAGGCCACACATTCACACCACTATCCCCCAACCACTGTGTTATGATTGCTGCTAAACTGCAACTGAAAAACCATCTATATTAATTGTTGGTTAATATCCCTTGCAGCTTGTATAATTCTGCCATTTACATCACCATTTATATTCCCGTATTCTCAGAGGTAGTTTTCTTTTCAGTTACTCATATTCTAATAATTTTCCAATTTTCTCAGTGGTAAAGTGCTCACCTCATCATTTATCTTCAAAGCTTTCTTTTTATCCTCTGATGAGCCGCAAGGAAGCTTGGTAAGATCCCACCACAACAGACCGGGGGCTATATCCTCCCTCTTGGTAGGACCTACACCAGAAATGTAGAGATAGCAAATGTATAATTTTAAATTGAACTTAATATAAAGCATACCCATACTACATAATAAATGTAACATGTTAAATGTGTCACCTGTCAGATAGCTAATCAGAACACCAATTAAGATTGTACTCAGTGTTCCCAGGGCGCCATAATACAGATAGGACAGAGAGTAGAATTCTTCAGTGATGGCTGATCTGTGCAGAAAGGAACAAATTCAGCAACTTCCAAAGAAAAAGGTAAAATTATGCAAAACTTACAGGCTAAAACAAACCCATTTACTCCAGAGCTTTTGTCTTTCTGGTGACTAGTCAATGTGAAAATGTTGCCAGCCCATGCCTAAGTAATGATACTCACAGATAGTGAAAGCAATGTAACCCCAGTTCTGTCATCACGTATATAGCAGCAATCCAAAACAAGAAGTAATGGTGAAAATCACTCCAATTTTAAAGTGGTGTGCTCGACCATTACTTTCTATTTGGGATTTCTGGTAAATGGGCCGATTCCATGTCCAGCTAGACTTTGACCGGCTTTGTAGGTTACCAGTTAGTCTACTAGTCATCACTAAAAGTGAATTATAGTCTCATAATCAATCAAAATTTTAAAATATTGGAACTGGAAAAATTATAGTAGGAATGCTTCAACTATCTTCATAAACTAACAGTCTGTGCACACTATCTTAAATTCTGGTCTTACAGCTTCCACTCTAGTGTTTTTATATATTTTTCCTTTTTAATAATCTTCTGAATACTTGCTTATTTTGACCAAGCAGAGACTTTGAGATACTATGTTGTAAATTACCAATAATCTACAACCTGCTAACATCTACTCCCACTCTACTAACCACTTTTCCCATCACATTTTACCTTCAGTCTCCAATGGTAAGTATTTTACATACATGTTTACCCAAAACATGTAGACATATTACACTATTTACCGGTCTAGTGGAGTTGAGATGTTTTGAGGTGGGGCTGGGCCATAGATGATTCCGTGACTAGAGTTGTATAAGGGACATTTTTCTGCATACATAGGTAGTTCTCCCATCATTTCTGCTGTGGGTGGATAAAGAGTACCTCCTACTGCCACCCAGAGGCTCAAGGTGAGTCCAACCAGAAGGCCTGAAAACACTCCCTGACAGAAACAATACATGAATAAATAAAAATGAGAACAGCTGTAGCATGCAATTAAAACACATATTGTGTTCATTTATTCAGACATTGTCTACATAAATTAGATAGAAATCCATTAACCCCATTGCTACTGGGTTCCTTGTCAAAAACACAGTGCTTTAGTACATTGCAGAAAGGTTTACATGCACAATCTGTTCTTGACAGACCCACCTATGCTCACAATTGGGTACTTTTCAAATGGCATTTGTTAAATTGAGGATGTAGAAAGCTGTATCCAAGGAGTCTGTTTTGTCAGGTTCTGTTTAGAGCTTTAGTTTTGTTTTTGTTTTTTTATTAAGTCTGCATTAATTTTTTAAAAACATTGGAAAACTTGGAGAATCAGTTTTGGCAGAATCACTATTCAGCTTAATTTGTGTTTTGTGATCATGGTACCGAAAAGCTGAAATCCGAGCCTCCACATGTCCTAATCCCAAAGCAACCAAAACGGCCAATGCTGTTTCGATTGGATTGGCAGTGAGTAGCAGCTCTAAATTAATATATAACATTGTCCAAAGGCCACTAAAAATAGTGGGGGAGGGCAAAACCAATAACTGTAAAAAGTAAATCATAGTTACCATTAGTTGTATTCTTTCATCTTCTTTTCTTCAGCCACAAAAAAGGCCAACTAAAAATCTATATTGTTCCAGTGCAGCTTCAAGGAAAAAAATGGATTGCAGAACAATAATAAAAACACAACACAATATAATAATCCATGTGAGCCCCGTGGGAGCTTGGCTCAGAATAAGCTTGCAAGATAAGAAAACCCCATATAAGGGTTTTTCCCAAGATGTGTATGCCCAGTCGAAGAGCTATGATTGGTCGACTTACCTATTATATATATATATATATATATATATATATATATATATATATTGCATAGCTTGGGGAAAGCCTATATGTAGCCTCATTTAATAGCCCATCTTAACTTTTAAAGGGTTACTCCAGGCACCATGACCACTTTAGTGATTTGAAGTGGTCATAGTGCCTGGAGTCTGTATGTGCTACTTTTCACTGTGAAATTCTGCACATATTGAGTTTTACCCTTTGCTGCCAGAGGTGTAACTCCACTCCACCTCAGGCAGCATCATTGGATAATGTCAATTCTGTGCACAGACACTCATTCATTGTCTCAGAGTGCTCAGATAATGCTCTCAGCCAATAAATGAGCAGTAGGATTAGCATCTGTCCTCTTCTGTAGCTCTGCAGGAGCAAGATGTTGTAATTCTATGGAACAGGATGATAAGCACTTGACAGGAGCCAAGATAAGAACACAAACCATTGTAAAACTGGGGAACAGCTCCAGGGTACTACTACCATCATAACCATTACATCAGGCTGTAGTGGCTATGATGGATGGAGTAACACTTGAAGTTAAAAAACCCTGTTTTTGAATCCCACTACAAATCAGATAAGATATATTGTAACTATTGATATATAACTTACTGCTGTATTGCAGGAGACAGTAAACATTCCAAGAATAAATGCCCCAAGTAACGGTCCGCTGATTACACCCATTACTGTGAAGGAACCCTACAAAAGAGAAGCAAATGAGAATATGATTTATTTTTTATTTTATTTTTCAATGCTACAGCCAAGGAAAACAATGAGGCTAAAGATGCAAAGTGCCAAATGATATCTCATGCAGTTATTATAGCTATACTGGAAGGTACTTCAATAAGGATTTTGCTTTCTGTTTTTTACTTACGGCACAAACAGGAATGTAGAAACGTTTTTTCAACTTAAGTTACCATGTTACAAGTAAACATTTTAGTGTACCTTAATACAATAAGTGTTTCTTCACTAAACACTGAATTGTAAAGAATTCATATCCAAATTGTGGATTTTAGATAAAATAGCTGATAGAGAGCAAAATCTCCAATTGACCTATAATAATAGCATGGCAATTTGGGATTTATCAATGAGGCTCTTCTTACAGGTATTAGGTTGGTTAAAGGACCACTATAGGCACCCTGACCACTTCAGCTTAATGAAGTGGTCTGGGTGCCAGGTCCAGATAGGATTAACCCTTTTTTTATAAACATACCAGTTTCAGAGAAACTGCTATGTTTACACTGAGGGTTAATCCAGCCTCTAGTGGCTGTCTCATTGACAGCCGCTAGAGGCGCTTGCGTGCATCTCACTGTGAAAATCACAGTGAGAAGACGCCAGCGTCCATAGGAAAGCATTATGAATGCTTTCCTATGAGACTGGCTGAATGTGCGCGCGGCTCCTGCCGCGCATGCGCATTCAGCCGATGACGTCGCTAGGAAGAAGGAGAGGAGGAGGAAAGCTCCCCGCCCGGCGATGGAGAAAGGTAAGTGTTTAACCCCTTCCTCTCCCCAAAGCCCGGCGGGAGGGGGACCCTGAGGGTGGGGGCACCCTCAGGGCACTATAGTGCCAGGAAAACACATATGTTTTCCTGGCACTATAGTGGTCCTTTAAGATCTATTTGGTGAAGGGAGTCTACCATGGCTGACCATCAGATGGTGGAAAAAATAAAATCAAGAGAAGCTGAATGCTGAAGTAGGTGTTCATGCATTTGCTAAGAGTATCAGCTAAGTCCTCTCAGCAATTAAAGTGTTTGTCTCTTGAGCAAAATTGACATTCAGCTTCTAGAATTGAGAAGACCAGATGCAGTGCAAATTCCTGGCCGGGTTCAGTTGTCAGTGTCATGCTTAATTGTTTTGACAGATTACAGTGTTTATGGTATCTGGTCACTCCTTGAATCATAACCGCTAAAGAAGTGTATTGGCTATTGTCAGTTATTTCACTGTTTCAGTGGCTGTTTAAAAAAATTGAAGACAAATAAAAATTCAGTTTTTAAAAAAGTAATAAAATAATATGAAAAAAAATTCATTTGAAACTCACTGAGTTGAAAGTAGAAAAGTCTGTTTAAATGATAAAACACATACACTGAAACATTTTTTATTTCCCCTTGGTCTTTAACAATATATGGGGGGTGCTTAGAAGTGTAGCTAAAATAAATTCTCAAGTGGAACTACCTCCAAAAAGTTAGTTTGACATTGTCAGGCGAGTTTCTGTAGATGAAAAGTTGTCAAATATATTGTGAAACTACACCTACTTTCTCTTGTGTTTTATTTTTAAATTTAAGTAGGACATGCTGTGTGATGCCAATACATCAATTAAAAAGGCTGTCATTCTGAAATATGTTTAACCTACAGATCTGCCCACGTGCCAATGGGAACAGCAAGATTCTATTTATCTATGTACCTGTCTGTCTGCAGACAGACACAGTCCACCTACTTGTTTTACAAAAAGTTACTTCATATACATTGTTACTGTTCAGTGTTTAGGTACTGGGTGGATTTTCCAGTAAAAAAAAAAGAAGCATATACAGAAAATGTCATGTTTACATTAAAAAAAAAAAATTGATCCATTGTGGTCTTAGTAATTTTTTATGTATAAAAAAAAAATACTTTGTATTGTAACGTGACTGCTAGAACAACAGTGGTCTTTTTAATTGACACTGAGGTCCCTGTGACTTTAATGAGTGATTAGGACCTTTTGAGAAAATGCTATCATCCTGATAAAAGTATTTAGAGAAGGTAAAATGTATTGATTTTGAAATAGCTGATTTTTGAGGAGAGAGGCTATATGGTTCAATTTTAATTTAAATTTCAATTAAATTTTTTTACAATTCATTAATTTTAAGTTAGTTGGGAATTTATAATAGCAAATTCTTAATGATATACTACTTTAATTTCATACATATACTTTGCAATGGAGAAAAATTACTATTTCAAGGTTATCATTACCTGAAGCACTCCACCCCCAAGAAGAGAAGATAGTGCGGCTACAATAATACATGAACATCCGTAAACCAAAGCTAAGAGGGAGAGAGAAAACATACAAAATTACATTAACTTTTACACGTTATAGACAGAAATTAGTAAGAAAAAAAAATAAGCAAAGATTAACAAAATAAAATAATAAAAAGAACCAATGTAAAAACTAATGTATCAGTGTAAGTAATTATTCCATTTTTAATCTGCCTGCTAGAGGAACATGCAGGCTAAATGCCTTCTGCCAATGAGACCACTAGAAAAGATTGCATATGCCATATCTCTTATTATTTATAAAGCACCCCCAAATTCTGTAGCGCTATACAATAGGTGGACTAACAAACATGTAATTGCAAAAAGATGAGCTGGAAGCACAGGAACAGAGGGCTTGCAAGATTAAGAGACAATTGGGCCTGGTGCTTACAATTATGATGGGCCTAATTACAAAATCCTATCGACAGAAAACATTAAAAGTCATACCTCCCAAGCATCATGTATCTGGTGGCGGTGGTGCTGGAGGAAAGCTCACAGGATATAGCTATCAGAAAATGACCCTATGCTAATTTCTCACTGTCATCTTTCAAGTAAGCAGGTCCAGTGAAGCAGAATGTCGGTGGGTGAGGGAAAAAGGTGGTCAACCTGGTGTAAATGCTGGCCAGCAAACCAGGGCATACCATGCAGACAGCACCCTGGACTTGGCATTAATGTGTCTAATGATGTGCTAACTCCACGCTTTCTAAGGACTGTCCCCTACTACTCACTTGTCCACTCCTCTCTTACCTTTTTACTAGCAGGCAGAAGCTCAGAAGCTCCTGTTATACAATCTGGGACAGAGGAAAGGTGTATGTAGTGAGTGTAGAAGAAAGGGAACATGCCACAGTGTTAGAGAGACTGAAGCAGCAAGAGCATTTGCATAGTGCGCAAAGTCAGCTTTACCTTAACTAATTTCATTGTTACCCAGTCCACACAAGATTTGTTCCCCTACATCCCTCTTTAGTTTCCATACTTAACCAAGAGCATGTGAAGAGTAGTTATATAAAAAAAAGGGCCTAGTAGCAGCTGCGACCGCGTCTTTCACTCCAGGGGGCCCAGCCACCCTGCGGAAACTTGCGACCAGGTGCCTGCTGCCATGTGTTGTGGCCCCTGTCCGCATGGTGTAACCGCCGGGGCCGCATGTTCATGCTGTTAGGACCGTCCGATGGAAATTAATTTCCAGGTGGCCCAGTCAGCGCTGTGCTTTAACACTGGAATGTGGCAGGAGTTGCCAAAAGGTAGATCCCTAATTAATGTACATGTACTGTCATAATTTGCATCGATTTTAATGATGATGTCAGACGCTGGGAGGAAGTTACAGCCCCAGTCACCCCTACCAGCAACCACTGGGAGCTGCGCGTGAGGAAGGAGAGGAGGGAGTCAGAGTAGGAACTCTGACTCCCATTAGCCTGTGCCATTAGACCCCATGGAAAGTCACCCTCCTGCACCTAAAAGGTAGGAAACGGGAGGATGACTTAAACATTTTGCATGTGTGTGTGTTAGTGTATGTGTTTGTGTGTCTGTATGTATCTCTGTGTGTGTCTGTATGTATGTGTCTCTGTGTTTGTCTGTATGTATAGAAAGCGCTACGGAATCTGTTGGCGCTACATAAATGGCAATAATAATAATAATAATAATAAGTCTCTGTGTGTATGTTTATCTGTATGTGTGTTTGTATGTCTGTATGTGTCTGTGTGTTTGTATGTGTTTGTCTTCATGTCTGTGTGTGTGTATGTATGTGTGTCTGTATGTCTGTATGTATGGGTCTCTTTATGTATGTGTGTGTGTTTGTGTGTGTGAGTTTGTGTGTCTGTATGTATGTTTGTGTCTACATGTATGTGTATCTTTTTGCATGTTTGGGGGGGGGGGGATATATGAGGTAAGGGGTAGACATATGGGGGGGGCACGGCAATTTTTGCACCGGGGCCCTGCAGCCCCTATGTTAATCCAGCTCTGAGGGGTTGAGGGCATTGCTCAAACGAGCTTACATTCTAGAGAGGGTTGGCTGAAGTGGCACAAGTGCTAAAGGTGGGATGTATTTCATGTACGTGAAGGTAGGTCACTGGAATAGTTTACAGTCAATGGTTAGTGTGTTGGATGACACAGCTGCATGACAGGAAGCAGGGAGGGTTAACAAGGTGCAGGGAGGGAAAGCTATTAACAGTTTAATTGATATGCTTTCCTAAAGAAGGAACTACTAATGGTTATGTTGCCAAGCTGCAAGAGGTTTAGGCTTCACATAAAATGGCTTGGTTAATTCCTGTATTGGGAAAGCTGCTTGCATACCCAAGGGTGTCCAATGTCTGCACTGTGTCACGTACCAATAACATGAGGACATTAATAATATTTAATTCCATTTTCACAAATTCCCATTTGGCTATTTTGGACTATAAAATTAAATTCTCTTAGAATTCCCTTTAATTTACATTATGGAGAATGACTGAAAAAAATTCTTCATTTTCATATTTGGAACCTGAGATAAGAGAAAGACACGTCTGATGATGACATGAGGTTGTGGAATGGTTATAGTGTGGGGTGCACAGAACATGAAAGATGAAATGTTAGAGATGAAATCCAGGGAGATTTGAAGTGATATGGTTGGAGATGGTTGGAGATGGAATGTGACAGGAGTTGCCAAAAGGTAGATCACTAATTAATGTACATGTACTGTCATAATTTGCATTGATTTTAATAGTGCAATTAACAAAACTAAGATGGAAATCAGATAGAATAGATTAAAAGAGGCAGAGATATAATGTTTTTCTGCGAAAATAGAAACATAGAATGTGACGGCAGATAAGAACCATTCAGCCCATCTAGTCTGCCCAATTTTAGAAATACTTTCTAATTCCCTGGCCTTATCGTAAGTTTAGGACAGCCTTATGCCTATCCCACGCATGCTTAAACTCCCTCACTGTGTTAACCTCTACCACTTCAGCTGGAAGGCTATTCCATGCATCCACTACCCTCTCTGTAAAGTAATACTTCCTGAAATTATTTTTAAACCCTTTACCCCTCTAATTTGAGTCCTCTTGTTGTGGTAGTTTTTCTTCATTTAAATATAGTCTCCTGCTTTACTGTGTTGATTCCCTTTTTGTATTTAAATGTTTCTATCATATCCCCCTTTCTGCTAGCATTTCCTGCTGCTCTATTACATTATTTGCCTACCTTTAAGTCATCTGAAATAATTACTCCTAAATCCCTTTCCATGTTGAGGTTAGTAGGGTATAAAATATTCTATACTCTTCCCTTGGATCATTATCTTGCACTTATCCACATTAAAGGTCCGTTGCTACAACTCTGACCATTTTTCTAGTTTACCTAAATCATTTGCCATTTGGCTTATCCCACCTGGAACATCAACCCGGTTGCAAACTTTGCAAACTTTTGTATCATCAGCAAAAATACATACCTTACCATCAAGGCCTTCTGCAATATCACTAATAAAAACATTAAAGAGAATGGGTCCAAGTACAGATGCCTGAGGTACCCCACTGGTGACAAGTCCAAGCTTCGAATATACTCCATTGACTACAACCCTCTGTTGCCTGTCAATCAGCCACCGCCTTACCCATTCAACAATATTGGAATCCAAACTTAAAGATTGCAGTTTATTGATAAGCCTTCTATGTGCAACAGTGTCAAAAGCCTTACTGAAATCTAGGTAAGCAATGTCTACTGCACCACCCTGATCTATTATTTTAGTTACCCAATCAAAAAAATCAGTAGGATTAGTTTGGCATGATCTCCCTGACGTAAACCCATGTTGTCTCTGATATTGAAGTGATTTTAGATGTTCAACAATCCTACCCTTTAACATGGTGTCCATCACTTTCCCCACTACTGACGTAAACCTATAGTTGCCTGACTCCTCAGTACTACCTTTCTTGTGAATGGGTGTAACAAAATGGGCACAAGGAGAGATGTCATTTGAAGGAGTCCTCAAGGCTTGAGAGGAATCACATTTTTGATGTCTAATGAAAGTAACGTATTAAAAAATATACTTTTGAAAAATAAAAGTAAAAATATAACAAAAAAAAAAGAAGGTTTGCTGGCAATCAATCTCATCAGCAAATATAAAATGGTTGCACGAAAATAAATCCATAATAAATCCAACTAAATCCAACCCATTGCACAGAAGAGTAGTTGTATGGCGTGCCCCTTTGTCTGTTTGAGCATAGAACACTTACAAAGTCCCTTTGAAATGAAGGTCAGCTTTTTCATTGAAATTTGTGGGAACCTTGGCTTAATTAGATCCTCAACTGTTACTGCTGCCATTGCATTGATACTTGTAGATGCTGTGCTAGAATAATAAACATACAATTTTTAAAAACGTGTTGTAAAATTAAGCCAACTTTATAAATACAAAAGCGTATTTTGTTTTTGGTATTTTAATGATGCAAACTCTCACCTTAATGTTCCACTGTATGCACAGGCAAGGAAGAGACCTGGAAGCCCTGGATAATGATCAAAAATTTCCAGCACCATATATGGCATATACTGTAAGTAATTCAAAGTTACGTTTATGAGAAATAATGCTGCAGAATTTTTTTTCTTATTCAGTGTCACCACTGCCATTTAAGCTGTCTCCTATGGCTCACTACAACTCTTGGCAGATTCCATTGATTTCAAATTTGGCATATTACATTGATTTTAAAGAAAATGTTATTTGAACACGTGTGTCACATGTAAAAGGCACTGTGATTGGCCAGCTCTACCTCGATGCTCACATTGAAATGACTGGTTTAAGGCAGTGGTTTCTAAATCAGTCCTCAACAAAAACATTTCTGAAAAAACATTTTTTTTTTTTTAATTTAGCATTGATTTTAAAATAATATTACTCCATTATAATTAGGCATATTTTCTTTTTTCTATCTTGGTTTTATTGAGGTGTGGATAGAGACATTACATGAATGAAGATTGACAAAACACAATGTACAAAAATTGCATAGTAGTTCAGTCATTTTTTGTTTTTTTTCATTGTTCTTATAACATGAACAAGCAGACACAGGCTAGGTTAATATGTCTAAATAGAGAACCGATATCATACCATCAAACGAATAGGTCTGGCCAGACACGTAATAATGAAATAATAAGTATTAGACATATTTACTATTACATGTTTTAGAGTCATAAAAAGGAAGGCACAAATCTTTTCTTGTGACTTTTCTGGGCAAAATATTGTTTTTATTTGATTTAATTGTGTTTGTTTGTTATTTAAAACAGCTATATTCCATTGTATTGCATAGATTTCTCGAGTGACAACACAGTACAAAAATGCATCTAGCTTGTATATGTCTGTGTGTGTGTGTGTGTGTGTGTGTGTGTGTGTGTGTATATATATATATATATATATATATATATATATTCATTAGTAAGCACTTTTAGTCTTTTTTTTCTCTGCATGCATAACATTTTTATATATAAATTAACTAGCATTTGTATGGAATCACTGTTCACATTGTATTTGCTTAAACATAACTATTTTAATTGTTTGTATAATAGCTTATATTTGTATGTTAATTTCGTGCCACATTTGGCACTTTATAAATAGTAGTAATAATACCTGATCAGGCGCAGAAACATATCCAGCCAGAAGAGGGTCACAGTTCAGAAAATATGTGAACATTAGAATGCCGCAGATGACCGCACTTGACACGATGAAGTAGAGAGCCACTTGATTCACTAGAATTGCCCTAAGAGCAGAGACATACTCAAAATTCATTGAACTAAAACCACTAAACTACTGATGGGGAAGGGGGACGGTGATGCACTTCTAACAGAATGTCTGATAATGGTATTACATTCACTGAAATCTAAATCCAAATGAAATAGATAGAAGATAGTGGTGAGACATGAGTTTAAAAAAATTACTTTTATTTCTAAAATTAAAAATAATCCTTATCATTTAAATACTTATTTACAATACAAAAATAGTAGTGCCACTAATAATGAAAATATTTACATAGAAAGTAAAATATAAAACAAGTTGGTTACTCCTAAAGTGGATATATTGAAAAAAAAAAATCATAGAGAAACACAGGCTATCCCAAAAGTAACTTGTTAGCAATATGTGAATAACAATGTATTTAATAAGCGACTAGATATCACTAAATAATTAAAGGAACACTATAGTCACCTAAACAACTTTAACTTTATGAAGCAGTTTTAGTGTATAGATCATGCCTCTCAGGTTTCACTGTTCAGTTAACTGCCATTTAGGAGTTAAATCACTTTGTTTCTGTTTATGCAGCCCTTGCCACACCTCCCCTGGCTATGATTGACACAGCCTGCATAAAAAAAAAACTATTTTCACTTTCAATCAGATGTAATTTACCGTAAACTATTTTATCTCTTGCTCTGTAACTTGAACTTTAATCACATACAGGAGGCTCTTGCAGGGTCTAGCAAGCTATTAACATAACAGGGAATAAGAAAATCTAAATTAAACATAACTTGCAATAAAGAAAGGATACACTTTAGCTGACTCTTTACAGGAAATGTTTAGGAAGGCTGTGCAAGTCACATGCAGGGAGGTGTGACTAGGGTTCATAAACAAAGTGATCTAACTCCTAAATGGCAGAGAATTGAGCAATGAGGCTGCTGGGGCATGTTCTATACACCAAAACTGCTTCATTAAGCTAAAGTTGTTTTGGTGACTACAGTGACCCTTAAGGACATTTGACATGTGTGACATGTCATGATTCCCTTTTATTCCAGAAGTTTGGTCCTTAAGGGGTTAAGTGAGACAGTTGCTTTCTAGTAGCTTGAGTTCTACAAGAGAAGTCACATTTTAAAGTGTAATTCCTGGAAATCTACTGCATATCCAGAGAGCCAGTGGAAAATTTAAATTTAAATTAAAGTTGGTGAATCTAACACAACAGGGAGGGTGCATGTGCCGGTTGGTCCCTATTATAATCTGAAAGTTAACCAAAAAACTCGTCCCTGCATATTTCTCAGCCGCCACATGTTATATTATATTCTTTCAGTCCTTGGTATTTGTTCACCTTCTCATGATCCTTCTTTTGAAAGAAGAACTAGAAAGGATGTGGAAAGTGAAGGCAGTAGTAGTCCCAGTTGTGATAGGAGCACTCGGGGCTGTGACTCCCAAGTTGGGGGAGTGGCTTCAACAGATTCCAGGTGGGACATCTGAGATCGCTGTCCAGAAGAGTGCAGTTCTAGGAACAGCTAAGATACTGCGCAGAACCCTCAAACTCCCAGGCCTCTGATAGAGCACCCGAGAATGAGGAATAAACATAACACCCAGGAGGGGTGAGAGAAAAAATAAATTTAATATATATATTGTGCAGCAAAATCAAATCAATCACAATATAAATATAATATATAAATATAATAATAAATATAAATATATACATTAGCTATTAAATCAATGATGTCATCTAGTCTTATTAGCAATCGTGATTCTTGATATGTTGCATTATAGATACTATGGAAAATGTTATCTAACAATGCACACAGCTGCATTCAGCAGTTAAATATGTTCCAATGTTGTAAAAAATAACATTATTTCTCTCTTTTTTTTTTTTATTGCAAACATTTTTTTTGTGGATAAATAAGATGGCTGTTTCCAGTTAGTTTACACTTCTTGTTGATGAGTCAATGTTATTAGTGAACATGCACCATACAGTACTTTCCTCCATCCTCTGGTTCTTCTTCAAACTGTATGGGAGCAGTTTTATAAAAATTGTCTCTGTCTCTGGCAACCAGAGACCACTTTCACCTCAAATGCAGTGCCAATGCCAGTTTAGTCATATCTGGATAGGAATCATTGGTTGATCACTGAAATTAGTCAGTCACCTTTGGATGTGCCTGACTTTATGAGCCAAACAATAAGCTAAAGGATCAGCTGAGGTATCATGGGCCTTTTAATTCAGCCTCAGGGTGTGCAAAGTCACCACATAATACAGGTGGAGCAGAGGGGATGCAATGTATCTGATTTCGTGGTCTGGAACTCAACTTGATGTAGATCACTTTAAATGTCCCTTTGAGATCCCAGACTGGAAGGAGTGTTTACAATCATCTGCACTTGCTGAAAGTGCAGACCACAAGATGCTCCCGTACCACCAGGAAGCTAGGCATAGATCGCCCCAGTACCACTAGGTAGCGGGACCAAAATCTAAACAAAAAAACTAGGGACAGGACACAAACTCCCACTGGACCACAATGGAGTACAACAATGGTTACAATTTACAGCCCTGAACCACAATCCTATCAGGATTATTGACCCCTGCCTAAAGGTAAGCATATATATTAATTTTATCATTAATCAATATTGTAAAATTATGAGAAGGTGTGAGGAGGACACAACAAACAAAGTCTATCCACACACTGCCTACTACAAATTACATACTCACCACCATACCTCACACACAGCTATTCACACAGCCAAAACACATGTATTACACACAGCCATTACACACAGCTACATCCCTCACAACCACCCACACAGGCACATAATACACACACAGTGACACACACACACACACACACACAGTCATTCCCCACACAAAGCCTCCCTGCACACAGAGAACTTAAGTTTTATTTTGTTAAAAACAATAACTAGGTGGCAGGTCCTAACCTTCATTTTGGATAGATGTGTCTTGAGAGAACTCCTCATTTAGCTATCAATTTTATTGGGTTTATCGCCTCTCAGCATTCTCATTTAGCAACTGGTAGAGACTTACTTTTATCCAGACCTGGACGGTCTTCTTTGGAGCAGTTGAAAACCATGTTTACCATTGTAAGCCCTAGCAAATACATTGGACAGGAGGCCTAGCAAATACATTGGACAGGAGAGACGATCGATCTCCCAGACCGAGGAAGTCTGATTTCACACAAAATCAGACTTTTGCCACATTCTCCCCCCGCCCCCGCAGACCGGCGGGGGTTGATCCCCATCTACATCTTAGAGGCCCTACCGCCAATTCTACAACAAGTCAACACAGTGTTGAACCAAGAACAACCAGAGCCAGTGTGTTACTCCAATAATGGGCGCCACGTGCTATCTTCTGACCACTACCATGACCAAGCTGACACACTAATTAATCTACCCAAAAATCTTTGCAGATATCTGGAGAAAGCTAAACAATACAATAATGCTACTATATAGCTATTATGCTACTATTAGCCTATATTTATGCTTATCTATTTTATTTAATCTTTCTTTATCCTTTACATACAATTGTAACTCTTGTTATGTTTGTGTTGATCTCTTGATTAATACTAAATAATTTATAGTAATTTTGTACTGTTAACAACCAAAAATAAGTGCTCACAATTATTTAACAATATAAAAAAACTGTGAAATAAAAATTAGGTGTATATCCCTTTCAAGTGCAAAATATTTGGATGTCTTTGTAAAGTGCAAAATATTTTGTGCAAAAAAAAATACTTTCTTGTGCAAACAATACAATTGCAAGAATAACCATGTGACCTATCAATTTAGAGTGCAATTCAAATATAAATAGCAACCAATGTGTGCTTATTGTGACAAAATTGCAGCAGCCAACAAAGAGTATATGCAAATATCCCCCATATATAAATTAACCCAAAATGTTGGTGCGCACGACAAACATATACAAACTTGATGATACTTATATAAAGAGTTTGTTTATAGTTGCTTGTATTGGACCTTTAAGACAAAAATATAAGAACATCTAGTGCAGTGCATCTACACACTTTGATACCATACAATTTTATCTGATTATATGTTTTTAAACTCACTGGCTATAAGTGGATTGTGTGCCACTTTAAAAGCCCTGCTGGGATCAAACTCCTTGAGTTCTGTGGATCCACCTGGTATAAACTGGACCGCAGATAGAGACTGTTGGTATTCGTGAAGCCTTTATATTTCTCAAGTGCATTAAAACGCTGATGCATTTGGCAAAGCTCCAGGGTGGAGAGAAACGCATTATGCATGTAAGGTGAGACAAGACTGTGAGAGGGGAAGAAACACTAAGTGACTAAAGAGATACATAAAGCCTTCAAAGGATTTTAATATTTTTTTTTTTAAATGTTTTTAACTCTACTTGAGAAATAATAAAGGAATCACGAATACCAACAGTCTCTGTCTGCGGTCCAGTTTATGCCTGGTGGATCCACAAAACTCATGATTTAAGTGTGTCGATACTCTGCACTAGATGTTCCTATATTTAGTCTTAAAGGTACACACAAGTAACTATAAAATAATGCTGTTTATAAGTATCATCAAGTTTGTATATGTTTGTTTTGTGCACCAACTTTTTGGGTTAATTTTGTACTGTGCTATCTCTGTCTGAATGATTTACCAACTGAGTACCATTTTAATGTTGAATTTCTTGTTTGTCAGCTTCAAAGCTCCAAACGGTTGTGAAGATTAATCTTTGCTGTACAGCATGTTTTTTTAACGTTAAACACTGATTTTGTTGGCGGTACCAATAAATATATGATTAGCTTTATTTATAATTTACATTTTTATTCCCGTGAGTGGTTGTGTAGGCAGGACCCCAGGGCACTGCTCTGCCCAGGGGTCTATAATGCTGTTAAGAGTGCCCTGCCCAAAAAGGCCAGGCTGAAGGAGGACTTGGGTGGCATGGAAGGGAAAGGAGTGCCATCATTGGTCATCCGCATGCTTTGATGACAGATGCCTTTTATGAACAGCATTATCATGCTATGACAACAAACATCCTTTGTGCACAGAATTAACATCAGACAGTCTAGAACTTTCGTTTTGGGTTCACTAATGACCCTACCTGTGGTGGAATTACACTTCCAACATCAAAGCTCTTTAAATAATTCTGTTTATACAGTGTTTCTCTGTTTCTCAAATCTCCGAAGTGGTCATTATGTTTGGAGTAAACCTTTAACAAAATGGCAGTGTTGTTGAGGATCTCTACTACTGTGCTCTCATTAATAGAGCTCTTAACTTCTCAAGTCTTGACCTTCTTATAGATAAATTATTGCTTCACTGGTCATAGTACAAAATGGGCAAATATCTGGTAGGACACAATGGCCATGGGCTGATGGCCAACTGGGGAGATCAGGGAACCTCCCCCAACTAGCCCTAGTAATCCCTTATTAGAAGCCCATGCTGCTTCTTTCAGGCTCTCTGTTAACTCTGCTCACAGCGGCATAATATCATGTCTGCCCATATTCTGGGTCTATTCTGAAAAATATATTTTTCTACTCTCTTTCTACCTTTATCTCTTGTATACTTCACTGATAAGCATTACAGAACAATGTTTTATGCCAATACGGAGAAATTAATAACTGTGGGTTGAAGGAATGACAGTCTCATTTGTCAGACATGAAATGTTTCAAACACACCACCTCACAAAGTACAAATCTACCATTCTCTTGTATCCAGTAACTTAATTTTCTTAAGAACGACAACAAATATCAGACCAATGGCAAACAAAGATAAAGTAGTTTCTTTATCACTTAGGTCATGACTTGCATGTTTCTATATATTTCAATTGTATGAGAAAAAGATCAGAAACAATAGCACTGCCCAAAACAATGTGTATAAAATCCATATGTAGGCGTAAATAGATTGATTTGTACTTTTTGAACTGAGCAATACCTTCTCAGATGTTTGTTTACATAGGTAATTGTTTTGTTTAATTGGTTCTTATAAAAAGTGGGTTTTTTTTGTCACAAATGCAGATACTTATGCTGCTATTACATACTCTTGCTTTATTTTAATAGTTGGCAATTCACATGTCTTCATTATGTAATTGGGCTTCTGGATAAGGCTTTTATGATCCATTGGCAGGTTAAATTCCAACAATGAGTGTTCCATGGACTCTCTAGGCTTGCAGTAATTTTTAGGCCTGTCTAGTAGCATATGACTTTTTGAGCCCTACCATTAGCAATATACCAGTTTCAAAAAACACTCTGCATAACAAGCAAGACTAAAAACAATTGAATAGACAAGCAACACGTGCCATGTTGCAAATGCAATCTTTCATTAATATAAGAATGACTCACAGCTTTGCCTCATGTTCAGTTTTGCATGCTACGTATCGCTGAACCTGGGCCTGGTTGACTCCGTACATGGACAACCAGAGGAATGTACTGCCAAAAAGAAAAGTCCAAAAAGTGTAGCGCCGGCGTGGGTCTGGGTCAAAGCTGTATAAAAATATAAAAAAATGATTATTATTATTAGTTATTGCTTCTTCCTGGAGACACCGGAGACCTAGGTATGCTTGAACATGATTTTGTTGAAGAGATAACTAAATTACCATGGGTTTCCAACAATTGGGGCCCACTGGAAGACATAATTAGGACGTTTGATTAGGACTCGAAATTGAGATGCCATGCTATCACAGGCTGTCCTCAATTTTTGGAAGAGATACATATATTTTAGACCTCTGGAAATAGCCATAGTAAATAGTTTGCTGCCTTTCTCTGTCTGCTGGAAAGCCCTTTGATATCAAAAAGAGTCAAATAAAGTGAATATACACTATATATTTGTTATATATTAATGTTACAGTTGAAGATTTTTGTAAGAATGGGTCATCAAAACAAAGACAATATGGATAATATCTGTCAGAAAAGCCTTTTCTAATAAATAGCAAAACTACATACAATGTGCTACAGATTTTGAGAACATATTTGTTAATGTTAAAACTACACTGTGGCGCTCAAAGTACCACAAAAGCCTGATAAATTTGGTGGCATTATGTTCATATATAATAATATATTATATTTTACAGTAAACTTAAAAAGCCCTAAATTATCTCAACTAAAAAAAAATATTTATTTTTCATTTTCATTTTATTTTTATTTTCATAAGGATATACTTCCTAACCCTGTATGCTATTTAATAGAAGGAGGAAAAGTATATCTTAAATATATATGGTGGTGACTACAGGCTTTAGGTCTTCTAGATAGATGGGTGCTATCTGTTGTAATTTGATTGATGGGATATATGCACATATACACATACACTGCAATATATATACTTACACACTTACACATACCCATTGACACACACATAGAGGACTATTGGACTGGATGCCACTAGTCCCATACTTATTAGAGAGGGAATGCCCTACCTTATTAGTTTAGCCTCCATTAACCTGCACAAAGGGTGGAGGAACAGGGGAGGTCATCCCCTCATGACAATGGAACCTTATATCAGCAGAGAGACTACTGCCAATGACTGCACCGGGGTGCGCACGCTGTGGGATCATCGATTGGCTCCTGCACATTTGGACATTTCTAAACAATCTAACCCCATCAAATTGGCAGTGCTGGGATAAAGGTCAATTGCTCCCAGCTACAGAGAGTGCAGATCCCTTCATTCTAGCTACATAGAGAGCCTGTGCAAGGAGTTGGAGTGGAGGCATAGTCAGGAGGCATAGTCGCGGGGCGAATGAGACCGCACTACTACATACACATGCACACACTTCATACAAAAACATGCTTACATTCAAATACACAGATACTACTCACAAATATAAGCCTGCAAGGTAAATGGTAGATTGTCAGCTGGGATAGCATCGTGGGAGTTTTATGACAGATGGGGATCTACCTTTTAGAAACCACTGCGCTATAGAAGGGTCTAAAAATAATTCTTGCACTAGGGCTCTGTATATATTAGTTCTGCCACTGCCTAATATATTTATATCTTTTTATACAGGAACTACAAAAATCAGTCCACTGCTTTTGTTCTTATGTTAGTTTGGGAACTCTAGTATCAAGGCTCTCTTTACTGACTTTTCAGATGCACCATTATTTTCTGGCCACTAGTAAATTGACCAGATTGTATTGATTCCATATACCTACATGGACTGCATTCAGGTATTACCCAGGACCGGACTGGGAAATAAAATAGGCACATGTGGATCCTTACATTTTGCTGTCTTCTCCACTGCCTCCTGCAGTCATGATATGTGTGACTATAAAGGCATATGCTGTTTCATGCATGGTCATCTTAATTTCTATTGTGAGTGGAGTTGAGAACCAAAAGGAATCCGCATGTGATTCTATAGTCACACATAACATAGCTGCAGATTAACAAGGTCAGTTGTGGAGGTTTCCTGATGACCCTAATTGATCATCGGACCCATGATCTTTTGTAGCTTATAAGATATTTGCCTGTTTGCACAATAGCCAGTCAAGGCCTGATGTGACTATCAATAGTAGAGATGTACCGCACTCACCAAATAACCCAGGTGCTCTGAAGCCAGACATGACCAGGCCTCCCTTCTAAAATATGCAGAATAAATAATGGTTCAGGCACTCCGGGATAACAAAAACGCTTTATTGGGGCAAAAGCAGCAAGGTTTTGACCCTACCGGGTCTTTATCAAGCTATCAGACCTGTAGTCCATTAGATCTCTAAATGTCATATATTTTGTTAATAGTAGGACTTTTTACGTACTCTCCAAAGTTTATCCGTGAATTGTTCCCTGCAATGTCCAGAACCTCAGACACTCCACCAACAAGTATGGTACAGCGGATAGCAACAGCAAAGAATCCTGAAAGCATTACTAGCACCTGAAAGACATCTGTCCAGATCACAGCTTTCATTCCACCCTAAAAAGGAACAGAATATGTTAAACAATGTGAGACAACTTTGATCTTCAAGTAGTATTCTTGTCACTTAGAAGTCATTCTTCGCAGAAGAATATTTTGGTCATTGTGGAGCAGGTATATTTGTCTAAGTACAAACATTCATGAAGAAGCAATATTTTCTCACAGGCTATGGAGTAAGAATGGTTAAATGAACACTCTAAGCACCATAACTACTGCAACATTTTCTAGTGGATATGGTGCTAGAAGTGTCTTGGTGCACTTCCCTAAAGTAAGAAGTTCAACTATAACAATTTAACTTCTTACCTTGGGTTCACTGAGCACCCCACTCTGCCTTTTCATTTCAGCAGGAAGTTCCTGTTAGGAGCTTCCATTGTCTCTCTTGATTGCTTTCATCCAATTAACTGCTCATCTGGGCTTAACTCAGAGCTAAGAGATTCTAACTAGAGAGGAGACAGGTAGCAGCACAAAAGTGTGGCCCAGGGGATTCCTGGCACCATAACTACAATCACACTCTGTTAAGTTTATAGTGCATTAAGTGTTCCTTTAATCCCTTAAGGACGGCGTTCATTCTATGCCATCCTTTTCGGGGCAGTCCTAAATACCGGTGGGCGGCATAGAATGTCCCTGCCGTCCAGGGCACATATCGGGTCCCCGCCGATCCCACGATCCTGGGGTCTGCCTGGGAGCTCAGGCAGACCCCCTCTGTCTGATCCGCCCACCCCCTCCCGCCATGTGATTGCGGGGTCCTCGTGATCACAGTGCCTGCAAGGGGCCTGTCTGAACTATCAGGCAGTCCCCCTCATGCCTGTAAAAAAGTTTTAAAAAGTTAGTAAAAGTTAATAAACAGTTCTTAAATTAAATAAAAAGTACTTAGAGCATGTGTATATATATATATATATATATATATATATATATATATATATATAATCTAAGTACTTTTATATACACATACATACATCATTGATAAAAGTGTATTTTAATATTAATATATATAATTATATATATATATATTAAAATTACACTTAGAATGAATATATATATATATATATATAAAAATAATCAATAAAAAAATGAAAAAAATAAAAATAATAATGTAAAAAATATATATATACCAGTTTTAATTTGTTCTAACTGTATTTTGATATTAATATACATATATATTAAATTCAAAATACATTTAGAATGACTTATAAATACATATATGTATATCTCTCTCTCTCTCTCTCTCTCTCTCTATATATATATATATATATATATATATATATATATATAGCTATATATAAATAAAAATAATTACACATATATATTTAAATTCTACAAATATATTTATATAATATTTTTACATAATTAAGTCATTTTATTAATTACAATCTGAGGGACCTGCCCGACAACAGGCAGTATGTCCAGAGAATTTGGTTGCAAGCCCTATATTTAACCCTGTAACTTTCCAGGACACAATAAAACCTGTACATGGGGGGTACTGGTTTACTCGGGAGACTTAATTGAACACATATTAGTGTTTAAAAACAGTAAAACATATCACAATGATGATATCGTCATTAAAAATGCAGTTTTTTGCATTTTTCACACACAAACTGTACTTTCACTGACGATATAATTGTTGTGAAACGTTTTACTTTTTTTTTTTATTCTTTATTTTTATTACATCTTGCTTGAATAGCCACAATAGCTAGAGCAAGCGCATCTGTAACATGTATAACATCAGTATGGCATTTATAGTCACTGCACATTTTTTTTAAATGGTGATAGTCAAACATAAAGTGAAACAACAGCTTGTAAACTTATAAAGCTTCAACAGCTAGGACAATCACTTCTGTAACATGTGAAACAACAGTATGGCATTTATAGTTACTTCACATTTGTAAATTAAATTAATAATAGTTCAACATAAAGTAAAAACATCAGCTTGTAAATTTTTAAAGGATTGGTTCCGCGTGGTCAGTAGTGTTGCTGAGGGCAGTGGTATAGCTTGGAATGCTGTGGGTCCCTATGAGGGGGCCTAGCATGTGTCTATGGATCGCTGTTGGTTACTTCTTTTACCAGGCCTACTCCTCTGGGGTAGGGCAGGTGTACCCATGCTATTGGGGTGCAGTGGAACAACTTTACTTGGCCGTCTGAGGGGCCGGTAGGTGGAGAATGTGTCAGGGGCTACAACATGGCTTAGACTAACTTAGGCAGTTAAAGAGGGACGTGGTGTCTGTATGGTGTGTAACACAACTCCTTGTCGCTAAACTACAACTCGCTGTGCACAGTTTGGAGTTGGGGGGAGGTGGGTGGTTTACTGGAGCCAGCTTCCCGGGTTAAACCCAGTGTTTATAGTGGAAGCCCGAGAACTAAAACCAAAATAGATTACAAAGACATATTAAATTTGTTAGCCAATTTAGACTGGATTTGGTGGTTCATGATGCTGTCTTCCCCCATGTGTCCCTTGATCCGGGATAAATGGGACGACATTGGCTGGGTCCCAAGCTGTTGTAGTTTGGGGGGGTTGTGAGGCTCAGTTTTGCCATTACAGTGTCCATCTCTGCTATGTCTGTCACTCTGTGTTCGGTGTCTTGATGCTGTATTACGAGCACGTGTGCCGGTCCCCAGTGGTATGTCACTCCTCTGGTTGCCAGTGAGGTTGTCAGTGGACGCAGGGATTTCCGCCATTGCAGGGTAGGGCGAGATAAGTCTGAGTAGAATGTAATGTCCATGCCCTCAAAACTGTAGGGATTTTTCCCTTTGATGGCACTCGTGAGTGCTGCTTTGTCTTGTCCATTTTGAAGCTTGACCAGGAGGTCACCTGTAGGTGTGGTGGTTTGGGTGGGCGAAACATGCCGTCTAGCTGTATCCCCTTTGCTTGTCTGGAGGGCAGCAAGGTTGCAAATAGCCTGCGAAGAAGATGGGGTAACTCTGCTGGGGTCACCGCTTCTGAAATGCCTCGGATTTTAATATGCTTCCATTTGCGTTTGTCCTCTATGGCAGCTAGTTGGTGGGACAATGCAGTGTGGGCTGTGGTGAATTCTCTCACCTGTGTCTGGAGGTCTGTCACCAGGGTTGCGTGTGTTTGAGTGAGTTTCTCCACGGTGCCCAGGCGGGCGGTAAACTCCCTGACATCATCCCTTACTTGGAAGATCTCTGCTGATAGTGTCTGGCACAGCCCAGAGAGGAGGGAGGTAAGTATCTCTGTGGTCACCGGGTGGCCCACTGTCGGCTGTACCTGCTTAGCTGGCTCTCGATATCCAAGAGATTCTATATACTGCAGGGGGATGTCATCCGAGCAGTCTGAATATTTGTCGATGTCGGCCACCATCTTAGGCCCTGCTGCGCCATGCGGTCTCCTCAGTAGATTGCCTACTGTCGGGGAATTGCCGTGGCTGATCCGGGCATCAGTTTTTTGTTCTTTATCCCCATTGGTGTTGGGGTGCAGTGGTGCTTTTTGCCGTGTATTAGGCAGCCGTTTAGGACAATTACTGGGGTTTTAGGGCTTCCAATCGCCGGAGAGCTGCGGAAATGCAACTGATCGGGTTGAGTGCTGGCTCCGCCCCCCCTACTAATATTTGTGTTCAGCGAAGTCTCCCAAGTATAACAGTACCCCCCATGTACAGGTTTTATGATGTTTTCAAATGTTACAGAGTCAAATATAAGGCTTGAATTTCCTTTTTTTCACATTGAAATTTGCCAGATTCGTTATGATGCCTTAGAGCCGTATGGTAACCCAGGAGTGAGAATTACCCCCATGATGGCATACCATTTGCAAAGTAGACAACCCAAGGTATTGCAAATGGGGTATGTCCAGTCATTTTAGTAGCTACTTAGTCACAAAACTGGCCAAAATTAGCATTCAAATTTAATATGAATACTAACTTTGGCCAGTGTTTGTGACTAAGTGACTACTAAAAAAGACTGTATTGTCTACTTTTGCAAATGATATGCCATCACGGGGGTAATTCTCACTCCTGGGTTACCATACGGCTGTATAAACTGAAAAATGTAATGTGCTATATTTGACCCTGTAACTTTCCAAAATACCATAAAACCTGTACATTGGGGGTACTGTTTTACTCATGGAACATCGCTGAATACAAATATGTGTACTTTATTGCAGTAACATCTAACAGTATTGTGACATTCACAGTTAAAATGCCATGCAGAAAAAAAATCTTAATTTCTCAATTTTTAAAATATTTTATTCATATTAAATTATGTTTAATATACAAATATTTGATGTGACTTGAAAGCCCTGTTTCTCCTGCCCGAACAAAATTATATATGATAAGTGTGGGTGCACATAAAATGAAAAATGTGAATTACGCCTGAACAGACATATGCGCAAATTCAAGGTTTTGTTTACGTTTTGCTTTGATCACAACTTGTACAACTGCATCAGTCCTTAAGGGGTTAAATGAGTAGATCCAGCTACTGTTACTACAATAAGAACTTGTTTAATAGAGCTTTAGGTTGTGCAACCATGGTTTGAAGGGAAACCACATTAACAGATGAACAAATCTTACTTATTCTAAGAAGTAAGCTTTGTTTATGGGACCGGTGTTCAGCAGAGTTGTTTTTTTTTTTTTTTTACCTGAGCTACCTTAGTTGATATGATATATATGTGAAATTATCATTTACCACATCAAAATTATATATTCATCAGAGAATTGTCCTGCTTAATGGAGGTAAACGACTATGCATCATGGAGTGCAAATTTTATTCCTTAGTGACTATTTACATGTTTCTTAAAGAGACACTTACCACAGTAGTGTAGAATGTGCAGATTGCTCCAGTAGAAAACAGAGATGACCAAATGTCCAACCCAGTAACTATAGAGAAAAGAAGAGAAACTTGGACTTGTTCTTGGTCACAATGCATATGCACCACATAGAAAAAAATGATAATAACCTTGGTTCAGTATTAATGCTGGAGCATAGATCACAATCCCAGTGTAAAACATCTGTTGAGACAAAGCATAGACAATTTTGTTATTTCGTTCTACATGTTCACTGCTTTTTAAATTTCATAAGGATACTTACTGTCCCTAAAAGGAATTGTATAGTGCCACAGAGTCGTACACTTCTGCTGAATCTTAATTCCAAATACTGTGAAAAGAGAGATAGCAAGTTCAGATAATATAAAACACACATGAAAATCACAGGACAGAGAAAACAAATGTTAATCACATACTTAAAGTGGCTATGGTTCCATGAGTGCTCAGGAGTAAGAAACAGTTTGACTTCTTACCTAGGGTCATCCAGTCACAACTTTACACTAGGGCACCATAACTACTGCAGCTTGCTAATATTTTCCTTTAATAGGACATTTCTCAAACTTTGCAGAGATTAAACATGGTAACATAATAAATGACAACTCAATTGACCTACCTGGTAGGTGCTGGTTATTCCTAGTCTGTAGAATACTGGCATGAAGATATAGGCAGTCATGAGGCTATTTAAGGTTTGGCCAATGCACATCTGAATAAACTTAGTTCCATATCTATAAGCCTCAGCTGGTACCCCCAGAACCTGCACAGCAGACATAAAACTGGCAGACAGAGACAAGCCTACAGGCACCGCTGACATTTTCCTGCCACCTGTGAAAAAATCATCCGATGTCTTCTGTCCCCCATGAGAAAATGCATAGAACATCCCAATGCCTGTGGATCCAAGGAGCATTATAGCAAAGACCCCATAATCCCACGGTGAGAAGGTCAGTCTCTCTGGCACATATGGTGTGTATGTCTCCATTAACCCTGAAATGAGCACAAAACGATAATAGTAAACTTCTATGGTTATATCTCAAATACAGGCAACTATGACAATCTGGCTGTTTTGCACTACAAGCATCTCACTGAATCATGGGAGAGATATAAATTAAATTGAACTGAAAATAATATACTTATGAAACTAAATTTTATGAGCCGTATTCAATTATTTTTTTCTTAAGTTCACACTAAGGATATGATTAGTCCACAATGATCATTCTTGGTCATAGCTGTCGTACCTGCAGATTCCAAGGTTTTTCAAGCCGCTCCAGACTGGTGTCTAATGCCAGTCTGTGCCTATTTATTCCCGAGCATGAATTATGTTGTGCATGTCTTGAATTGAACGATTCATTGTCCTCGCATCTTCTGGCACCCTCCTATGATGTGGCCCAATAGTAGTAAAATAATCACTGTTTAAATCCCAATCGCCCTTTTATGGCTCTCGGTTAGCCCAATAGTGTGTTTGTAACTATTCGGACTCTCTCAAACTGACCTTGGTTTCTTATACGATTATTCTGTTCTTTGTACTCCTGATATTTAGCTTGTCTACTGTTTACTCTATTTTCTCCAATCCTTGACCTTGCCTATTTCTCTGACCATTCTTATGTTAAACCAGGCCACTCTATGATCTGATGATATGGATTATAGAACTCTCTGTTGTGAAATCAGATCAGTATGCTTGGGGATACTTCTATATCGTGACAATAGCTTTCCTAAAAACAGTGGGTTGCAGAAGTATTCACTCCCTTGGATGTTTCCATATATGGTAATTTTATAACCGGGGAATAGATTTTTGGGCAGTGTTGTCCTTGCCTTAAGACCAATAATGTCAGTATTCACCTTATCAGACCACGAGCCTTTCCACATGTTTACTGTGTCTCCCACCTGCCTGGGTATTGATATGGGGGCTTTTCATCAATGGGTGTCTTCATTCCACAAGACAGTAAGCCCAGATTTGCCTAAGTTATAAATATCCCATGGACAGTTTTTCATCTGTGCTGTTGATCTTTCCAGCTCTTTCTAAGTTAACACTTGCCTCTTGGTTGGTTCTCTAACTAATGAATCCTTGGATAGCTCTCTAAGTAAAGTTACATTTGTAATGTAGTCTTGCCATATTTTATTAATAGTTTTAATTATATCCAACTAATTTTGACAACTCCTTGATATTCATTATGTTGTTGACTAACATATTTTGAGATTGCGTGACTCTTTAACAGATTACAGGTACAGACCCCATTTAACTAATTCAGTGACTTCTGAATGCAACAACTTTTTTTCTTTAATTCACTTTGTGTCATTGACCTCAATATTTGGTGAAATTATTCCATTCACTCTGGCAAATATTCTGCTAATCTCTGAGTTCAAAAAGTCTTTAACGCAGCCCTTTCTTAATGTGGATAGAGTGTTGATCCCTGCTCTTTGACAACAGACTTCCACCCGTAGTCTGGTCCAATGAATAGCAAAAATGGAAGATAATAGATGGCATGGCTGTGAGACTTTATGGAAGGGAAAAGAAAGTCCATGAAATGTGGCTTCCTTGGCTGGATTTTATGGCGCACCTGGGGGAGGGCAGAGGATAGGCAGACAGTTTAAGGTCCTGATGGGTTTAGTGTACTCTGGATCTGTTCTTTCTTTATACATCCCTTCTTTTTCTCCTCCCTTTTTTCTTTCCCTAGCCTCCTTTAGCTCATATGGGAAAATGATTCTCCCCTAGGCTCACTGGTATGTAAGTCCTTATTAACCTGGGGTCCACTAATACTATGCTTGAATATGTGGCTTTTTAAAAAAAAAAATTTTGTACTATTTAAACTTGACTAAATAAAGAGTTTCAAAACAGAAATCACTGTGTCATAATACAAAATAGCATTTTCAAAAAGTGTTAGTTTTGTTTTGTAAAACAAATGGTTAAAGTCAAAATAATTTAACAAATGATCTATGACATGTACATTAATTCCAAAAGCCAACAAGTATAACAGTGATCATTATTATCAATTAAATATTTAATTGCTTAGTGAGATATTCATTTTGTACTTAATGCTGCCATCTCACTGTCTTTGCGGGTTTACACCAATGTAACCCCCACCTCCCTGCCCTTCTCTAACATGATTGGCCCACCTTGGGAACAACTCTCTAAGCAGGCCACTGCTTTCCTATAAGACTGTTGTGCTTGCTATTTTGTAAGCATTGCAGCATCACAACTCAGTGGCATCAATTACTCCATTACTTATTTCCCTAGCAGAGCACAAGGTGGGCTTAATGGGGCAATAAGCACATCAGGCGCATCGCCTATAAGAAGGTTCTGCTTCCGCCTTGAGACTCAGTCATTGGTTTAGAAGCTATTCTAATGTCTACATCAAACGTTCATTGATTTGTTTAAAAATATCTAAAAGTTTATACAATTACTAGCAATTGTTCTAGAGGAAATGTTATGCTCTTTAATATGAATTTAATACGTTGTGTGTACTGACAGGTCATTTTAATTTCAGGCTGTCATGTCGCAAAATATGGAATTGTCCACGAGGATGAATATTTATAAAAGGTGGTATTGTAAGTATGTTAGATATGGCAATGGTATGGATCAATTTGTTGTGCATGATTTTTTTATTGTCTGCTTTTATATTGTTGCAAATTTATAGGACACACTCCCAGAATTTGTTATATTGTGCTACACTGGAAAATACCTGTGGCCGGGAAACATATATGATGCTAAGAAGGTAGTGTGGAATCAGATTAAGATAGGACGTTAATAATTTTAATATAAATATTTAGCCTTTTCAAAGTGCATTTTTCTTAAACAGCAAAGCATCAGCATTGAAAGTGTTAAATTACATAAGAGGCTTACTCTTTGCTGCCACACAGAGTGCGAGTTTGTAAATGGAGTACAGCATTAAAGTTCAACAGTATACACAACATTTGGAAAGTTTTTAAGTTGCAAGGCTCACCTGTATCTGGGAGCAGCAGAGATGTGCTGGAGAAGTGCTGGTTCTTGCAAGTTAGAAGAGAAAAAAGGAGGTGACAGGTGCTTTAAAGAATGAATGAGGGAGGAGGGTGGGGGTGAGAGGAGAGGAGGAGTTTTGGGCATCTCACTGCAATCCTGGGCAGCCCAGCTATCTTTCATTGTAATTTTGGGTAACCTAGTTATCTCTCAAAGCAATCCTGTGCAGCCTAGCTATCAAACTATAACTATGTGTAAAAGAGCTTTCACAGAGTAAAAATATGACAGCATTCTTTTTAAGGACGCAGATTAAGAACAAGTTGTACCACAAGCAGGACAATTATCTCTCAATGCAGATGTATGCTTTTTAATTTGTGGGGTAATAGCTTCTTGTTCCAAGGAAATATCTGGCTGCCATTCTGGGATCAGGAAGAATTTTTTTCCAAGTTTGTTGCAAAATTGGAAAGCACTTTAACCCCTTAAGGACACATGACATGTGTGACATGTCATGTTTCCCTTTTATTCCAGAAGTTTGGTCCTTAAGGGGTTAAACTGTATTGTTTGTCCTCTTTTGGATCAACAGCAAAAACAAATGTGAGAAAGGCTGAATATGGTGGACTCCTCAAATGTGAGAAAGGCTGAATATGGTGGACTTCATTTATGTAACTATGTGACCGTGTGAATGTATCCCTGTGCAGTACAGTACAATCATCTACTGAAGTGGTAACTCCTGGCAGCTATGTCACAACAGAGCAATTCATAACACACTCCCATTATATGATTTGCCTGCTGTTTAAATAGGTAGATCAGATTTTAGAATCTTATACTGAAATGAAAGTGATGTCATCTGTGCAATTATTCCCCATAATGAACTGGGAGTCATAAAATTAGTTTCAGAACGAATTGAATTTCATCTGAAATCTGAATCACTGCAACAAGAAAACAAAATGAAGACGACAAAAATGGATCTCTAATGAATCAAATCAATTTGTTTCAGACACATTTGTTTCAGATTAGTGTAGCAAATAAGTGAGTTATCTACTAAACAACAGAAAGAACAATATTAAGAAATTAACTTTTTTTAATTTTGATCTTTCAACTGTTTACTAGATGGCTCCCTAATCTGGTATACCTAATATGACAAACCCACATAAAGCAAATTAGAAAGTTACCTACTAAACAGCTGAATGATTTTTTTTTTTAAATTGTAAGTTGGTACCCTTATGGGAATGCCATATTGAAGAATACCAAATTAGGGTGCTGTTTAGCAGAGAGCCTTCTTATTTGGTATCCTGAAATATAGCAATCCTGTGCAAGGATAGAAAATTAGGGAGTTGTCTACTAAACAGCTTAAAGATTAATTGTATATTCTTAATTTTGATCTTTCAGCATTTTAGCAGATAACTACCTAAATTGGTTGTAGCGGACCACGGGTAACCCGACTGTTTGCTGCCGCTAATTGCTTCGCTCAACCAGACTGGAACCATTAAAACAAGCAGACATTCATTCTTCCAGTAACCAAACAAATCATAGTTCTGGGAGTCAACTGATTTATTTCAGGCCACACATGACTTTTATGCACAGACCCCTACATGAGGTCTCCAATTCAATAATGCAGGGTTTTCATTCCCAGGGTCATTTGTGCATGAGAGACAATTGCATGAGAAAAACCTACAGAAAATACAGAAAATCTACAAAAAAATATACACCATCACTAGGAACCCCACAAAGTTACATCCCCTGATCTGAGTGTATACCATATCCAAATTTCACTCAGATCGGTTTGGTGAAACGGGAATACCATCGAGGTAAAGCTTTGACCAGTCGGCGCTAGTCCAAAACAGTTCCAGGGGTTTCTGTTCGGGGGTTCCTGTGCGAATACCATGCAAGAGATTGTCTTAATTTCAGGGTACGAATGTTCACCCTATTCAGTAGTTCATATCTCCCGAATATCGTTCGCATAGTTGGTTGGTAAGTAGAACGGGCAGAGGTCTAATCTTTACCGGGGTTCGTGCAAGTGCCCAGCCGAAAAGAATGCAGACACTCGACCACCAAGTGCCGCTGCCCATGTTCAGGAGACAAAATGGCCACCGTTCTTCTGTCGACCATGTGCATTCAGTTATACGAAATGGCGGCCACCCAGGGGAAGCATTCATTAGTTACTACCCTGGCAATTTCGCATTTAAGTTGCTGGTGTGAACAATCTAATGGGGTACAGGGGTGGACCTTGTTCGGGAGAAGAATTGATACGAAAAAAAGCAAAATGGGGCAAGACAGACGCAATTGGAGGCAGGTTCTTTTGTAACTCTGTGACTGACACCTCCCACCTCTGTGACTGCCACCACAATCCCCATAGGGAAAAACTAATTTTGGTTTGTCCAAATTAATATTTTCTAGACTTCGTATCAACCTAAATTTAAAAAATAATGAATTGAAAAGAAACAAAATATTGTTTTCCCATGCACATCTCTATTTTTAATGTTACTCTACTCAGTACAATTATCTTTCACTGCAACTCCTTGTAGCACAGTCATTTTTCACAACTTTCACAACTACATCTATATCTCACTACTGTGTATGGTACTTTTATCTCAAACTGGTCTGTACCAACAATTATAAATTCAGGACAGTGTAAAGATATAGGATTAACCATAAGGTAACCCTAGATAGCCTAGGAGTTAGACAATGGCCCCAGAACCATCAATTTATTTGGCCCTGTTAACCATCCCTATGTGAAAAATGAAGGGGGTGGTAAACTAGAATCAGCCTAGGGCCCTATGGTATCTTAATTCTTCTCTGGCACCTTACTTTAAACAGCGCAGGCCTCCAAACTCAATCGACAGAACTATTGGTAAGGCTGAGCTTAGATAAGAGTATGTAATGAGTGCATTTCAATGAGTCCTTGTGTTAGTGTGTGTCTTTGAGTACCTTTATCAGTGTGTGTCACTGAGTGCTTGTGTCAGTATGTGTGTCACAGAGTACCTGTGTCACTGAGTGCTTGTACAGTGTGTCACTGAGTACTTGTGTCAGTGTACGTGTCAATGCTTGTGTCAATATGTGTTACTGTGTGTTTGTGTCAGTGTGTGTCACTGAGCACTAGTATCAGTGTGTGTCACTGAGGGCTTGTGTCAGTGTATGTCACTAAGTGTTTAGTGTGTGTGTGTGTCACTATAAGGCCTTATGTCAGTGTGTATCTTACTGAGTACCTTTGTACCTGAGTACTTGTGTCTCTGAGTGCTTGTGTCAGTGTGTGTCACTGAGTGCTTGTGTCCATGTGTGTCACTGTGTGCCATTTAGAATTGTATATAAAATATGTGGGGGGTGGAGGGGGGGGGCACTGATGGCTTATGCCAGTGTATGCTTGTGACAGTGTGTGTGCTTATTTGCTTATATCATTGCATCAGTGTGTCTGTAAGTGCCTATGAGTGTCATCGAGTGCTATTATCAGTGTTTTAATGAGCGTATGTGTCAGTGTATATGTGTGACAGTATGTGCTTGTGTCAGTGTAATAACTGTTGGAGGAGTGAGTGCTTGTATCAGATTGGGTGACTGTGAGTGCCTGTGTCAGTGAGTGCTTATGGCAGTGTGTGTGGAGGTTAGTGTCTGTGTCAATATGTGTGTCATCAAGAGTTCTTGCCAGTGTGTATTCTTGTCAGTGAGTGCTTGTGAGTATATATCAATGTTGGTGTCAGTGACAGTATGTGCATATATCAATAAGAGTATACATTTGTGTCTATTCCTCAAATTATTATTTGCTATAGCTGGTAATTTTCCCTAAAGAAGCACTCCATTGCCCACATGGTAAAAAAAAAAAAAGAAAAAAAAAGAAAGGAAAATCACCATTTAGTAGATATTCCTCCACGAAATACATGCATGATTTTTTAAAAATGTATTCATTGGGGGTATATCTTAAAAAAAACTTGAAAGGCTGCAGATCTTATGAACTGCAGCCTTAGTAAACCTTCCCTCATTGAGAAGCCTCTGACTTGGTGTTCACGTGTTTGCCCGTGCTGACCCGTGAAGTCAATATTATAAATTGTTTTACTCAATTGATGTATTTCTGAGTGTTATGCACATACACATACATATATTAATGTATGTGCATGATATTAATATACATCATATATAGTAATATTAATAGAATACAAACACATAGAGGATAGTGGGTACCACCTGTGTCCCTATACCTAGGAAATAGTGCCCAGGTGTGTCCGACTATCCTTAGCACCAAACCGAGACTCCAGGGTTCTCTCAGAGCTTGACCTAAGTATAATCTAAACAAAAAACTAGCAAACTAATAGATACAAAGAATCCCAGCACAGAGAGTGCAGGGTACCCACTGTATCACTAGGATATAAAGGTAGTAGTTGCAATAGTAACTGGTACACAATCCAAATACCTATAGCTAGTGGAAGGTGTGGTATAAATTAGATCTGGTGAAAAAATAAATAATAGAGAGAAGGACAATAAAACAATAAAAGAAGTCATAATAGTCACCTAATAAGGTATGCTCCTATGTTACAAATATAAAACAGCTCAGAGTTTGGATATCGGTAGAGTTCAAAATATAAAAAGATAAGCTTTATTAGGTATGGCTCTCAGTATAGGGGAACATCTCCTGATCATAAATCTAGTGTTATATAGTAAAGTATTTTACCTAATTATATATGTCCTATAGATCTGTATAGTATGTATCTCAATGGTAAATTGATAGCTCCATATATATACTAGTATCCTTTCCCCCTCCAAATAGTACTTGATATAGTAATTTATCAATGGTACTCTTTAGGGGTAACAAACCAGTATCTAGTCAGATATAACAAATATGACTGGTAATATTTAGCTAGGACAAGTTGTCAAAATGTAAATACTTGTATCCTAGTAGGTACCCAAAGGGTTAAAATATTATCAAAATGTTAATGGGTAGAGAGTCAAAAGGTAAAGAATCTATAACCAGCAAAAAAGAGCCGACAATGATACAGTTAAAAAGCCTCTCTCCCTGGTAAACTAACTAGACATAGGAGCAGAAAATAGATAGAAAGAAATTATAACAACATATTAATCAAAATGTGC